GGAGTCGCAGCAACAGCAGGGCGCCACAGAGGTGCAGGCCGAGGAGGAGGCGGCTGTTGACAAGCTGGCGTGGCCGCTGCGCGTGCTGATTGCTGCTGGCCTGGCAGAGTCGATTCACAGCGTCCACCAGGCGGGCGTCTACCACTTGGACATCACCCCGCGTGAGTGCCGCCCCTCATGTTCTGGCCACAGGTGCGCTCATGTCCTGGCCACAGGTGCTTGCTGCAGCAGCAGGGTCGTGTGAAGTTTGGCCGTCCATGCGCCAACTGACCATGCCTTGCTGACTGCCTGGCCCACCCGGTGCAGGCAATGTGCTGGTGGACACCAAGGCAAGGGGCACCACTGGCGGCGTCAGCGTGACGCTCATTGACATTGGCCTGAGCAGGGTAAGCAAGGGGATCAAGGGGGCAAAGGGGGCGAGAGGAGGCCCCTGCCTGCTGAGGGGTTTGGGGGACATGAAATACTGAGGTGTACGTACACCCAGGGTTCAAGTGTGTGTGCGTGCCTGCATGCGTGCGTGTGTGCGTGCGGGCGGCGTGTCTTGCAAACCGCTAGCTGGCTGCAATGTGGGAGGGGGAACACGCGTTCAGCTTGCTTGTGGGGCTGACGTGGGGTTTGGTCTGAGGGTGGCCAGCTGAGCAGGGACCACCTGGCCAATGTCAGTTTTGGCTTCCAGCGCTGCAGCATGCAGCCCTTCCCCCCTCTCCCCCCAGCACATAAGCACATCTTGCCTCAAGATCTTGCAAGGCAAGGCTATATAGCTTTGAAGTCACAATACTTACCAAGTCTGCACACGCTTTGGGCTGAACTTTGTTCACCTTCTCTTCCATAACCCACCCAGCCTGCTGCCCCAGCGCCGGACATGAGGAGCGAGACAAGCCTGCTGACCCAGACCAAGGGGGGAACAAACGGTTACATGGTGCGTGGTTGAGTAGCAGCAGAGATCTGGTAGGAGTGCGAGCAGCAGCAGCCGTATCAGCGGCAGCAGCAGCAGCAGCAGCAGCAGCAGCAGCAGCAGCAGCAGCAGCAGGAGCAACAGCGAGTATTTGCAAAACGTGGCAGAAAAAAATTGTGCAACTGCTGTAGGTGCAACCGTCGTGTGTGTGTGTGTGTGTGTGTGTGTGTGTGTGTGTGTGTGTGTGTGTGTGCATGCGCTTGCACGTGCCCAAGCACGTGTGCGTGCACGTGTGCATGTGCGTGCGTGCGTGCGTGCGGGTGCGCTGCGTGTGTTGTAACGGGGCAGTGTGTGTGTGATGGGTTCCCAAACGTTTCTGCAGGGCTGATGGCAATACGCAACGCTCTCCCTTGCCCATTGGCCGTCGCTTCTCAGAACCAGGCCCAGAGCAACGGCAAATATGGCACTGCCAACGACGTGTTCCCTTTGGGCGTCATCATGAGTGAGATGCTGACCGGGCTCGGCCCACTCCTGACGGTAGACGAGTGTGTGCGCGCCTTGCAGCTGGCCAGTGAAGACGCGGCAACGTGGCCGGCCGGCCGAAACAGCGGCGCCTACATCAATGACGGGTGCGAGGCAATGCCTTGCTGCTGGGCGGACGAGCGTGTGCCGCTGGCCACTGTGATCCAGGTCATTCTGCAGAAGCACCACCACGTGCCCAAGGCGCTGTGGCACCCTGCATGGTTCAGCGGTCGAGACACTGCCGAGGTTGCGGCTGCTGAGTGCGCGGGGGAGATAATGCATGCGCAGGTCTGCCTGTGCTTTGACACCAAGGAGCTGGGGCGGTCGAAGCTGCCGGCGATGCGTGGCGCGATGCGCCCTGCAGTGGTGGCTGCACTGGAGCATGGCTGAGATTGGGGGGCCACCCTTGGGTTGCATTGTGTGTCGTGTGTGGGTTATGCCGGGCCTGGAAGATCTGCCGACGGTGTCTGCGTTGCTTGCAGCGAGTGACGTTCGTGCTTGAAGCATAGGGTGTTCTGAATGATGTTGCCTTTCTGAGCGAGCAGACCCTGCAAATTATGCGCACTGCATTGCGCAGTCTTGCTGCACATGTGCCAGCAGCATGTGCCTGGTGCATAGTTGGATCACTCTGTAATCTTGCTGGTGCGTGGTGCTTGGAAGGAGTGCCGTAGATGTAATGATTGACTTGAGACTGATTGAGACTGGTCGTCAGGCTTTATCCCATAAGTCGAGATGGCTCCAGGAGCGGGCGACCGCGGGATCTTGTAACACCCATTCTTCTAATCCTAATCAAGGGGTGCGGCCGCTGATGTGGCACGGCCCCGCTGCATTGGCACAGGCACGCACACACGCACTCTCTCACCTGCGCTGCTGCTCCCCCCCTTTTGCTGCGTCACCGGCTCTTCATTGCAACACCCCCACCCATTGCCCCCACTGCGACGGCCTGGGCCGTGACGAAACGGCTGAACATGCTCTGCTTGATTGCCCCGCATACGCGGACCTGCAGGCCGAGCCGCGCTTTATTTGCGCCCTTGTTTGCAAATCTACCCGCGCTTGCGCGCATGTGCGCCTTTGCGCGGATCAGCACACACTGGGGGCCTTCGTGCACGCCTACTTTGAACGGCGCAGAGAGAGAGAGAGAGAGAGAGAGAGAGACTACGCTGACGCCTCGCGCGGCTAGAAACCACGCTGCAAGCGGCGCCGCGTCGGGTTAAGGAGAGGGGTGTGTGTGGTGAGCCACACCCCCCACCATAGGGGGTCAAGGGGGGGGCACTTTCACGTGACCCCGCGCCCTTGACGCGGCCTTGACGGTGGGCAGTTGCTGGCGTGCAGCAGCTGCTTTCGGCGGCCCCATACGGCCGTCATGCTCTCCACCGCGTGCAGGTTGAGGTGCGTGAATAGAGCCTTGTGTTTTTCTTTGGGCACCCCCAAGTCGGCCATCTCCTTCATCATGTCTGCGTAGATTGCGCCCCCCACACCCATTGTAATCACATGGAGGTGGACCTGCCG